GCAGGGACGTTGCCGGACGGGCCCCAGCCTGCCGGCGAGTCTGTCCCCAGTGGCCAGGGAGGGAAGCTGAGTTCCGAGGAAGGACGGCCTCCTTCCTTTCGCCCCAAAGACCTCAGAACTCAAACTTGCACATCCAAGTGTGCTTTTAGCTTCCTGCCTCTACTTGGGTCCAGGGCCCCTTCCTGAAGACCCTCACTGCCTCCTGGAGGGGGAGAAGTTGAAAAGTGGCCCCGCGGGACCCCCGCCCCCCTCCCCGTACACACAGGTACCACGGCACACACAGACACAGGCACACAGAGGGAACACACGCGGGCCGCCTGCTCTGGAGAGGCGACCCGCTGGCCGCCCTGGGGCACGTGCAGTGTGAGTGAGGCTGGGGGTGGGGGACGGAGGGGCGGCCCCTCTCTGCGGCCATTACCTGTCGGGAAAAGGAGAGAGAGGTAGCAGAGGTGGAGGTGGGGGCCGTGGGCGGCTCCCCAGGTAGGAGCTGCCAAGCCGGCTCGTAGGTGAGGTGAACAGCCTTGCTGGGGACCACGCAGAGGAGCAGGGAGAGGAGGGGGGCCAGCCCGGGCTGGGTGGGCAGGGCAGACGGACGGACAGACAGACAGGTGCACAGAGACAGACGGGAGGAAGGAGATGTTAGTGTTCAGTCGGAAGCTGAGAGCTCGGAAGTGGGGGGAGGGAGAGAGGCCTGGCCCGCACCTCCTCCCTGGAGGCTCCAGAGACATAGGGCAGGAGCGGGCTGGGGGCTGCCTTGGTGTCAAAGACCACAGGAAACAGAATCCCACGACAGCCCTTGTAAGGCTCGCCGGGTGCAGCCCTGAGCCGAGCTCCTGACATCCAGGTCTCGTCAGCGCCCCATAGCCCCAGGAGGCCCTACTTTTGTGAGGAAACTGAGGCTCTGACAGGTGACCTCACTCGCCAAAGGACCTGTGGCCAAGGACCTGTGGCCGCTGCCCAGCCTGGACCAAGCAGCCCACGCACCCAGCCACCCAGGCGGGGAGGGAGACAGCTCCCAAATGCTATGCTTGTCTAGGCACCAGAGCCAGAAGGTGTCGAGGACCCTCGAGTCCAGGGATGTCCCAAGACGGTCTTGGGCGTCAGGGCTGTGGGCGCCCAGGGTCCAAGCAGCCTGTCCCCAGAGGCCCAGCAGTGGCCTCCTTAGGCCGAGGCCTCCTTGTGTCTCCAAGCAGAACTCCCCCATCCCCCCACCCAAGGCAGGCCCTCAGGCCAAGGCCAGCCTCAGGCGCACAGAACATCACCTACTGCTTAGAGGGGCTTGGAGGGCCTATCAGGCCCCCCACGTGGTACACCCAGAGGCCGAGGCCCAAACCTCCTATCACAGAAACCTGTCCAGCCCTCCCAGAGGACACAGAGGCCCAGAGAGGGCAGGCCAGGCTCCAGGTCACACTGTGAGGGGTCAGGCCTCTCCACTGGGCCCCACTGCCTGGGGGACTTTGGGCACTGTCTCCCTGTCCCGCGTCCACCACCGCCCGCCTGCCGCCCCTCACCTCTTTGCCCTCCTTGTCCGGGGTGAGGGTATGTCCGGCAGCGGGGCACACGGCGGGGCAGAGGGTGCTGCTGGTGCTCTTATGGCGCAAGTGGCCCTTGCGGGGCCCGGCCTTGGTGGGGCTCAGCAGCTGTGGGTGGAGCTCACGGTTGGGAGAGGCCGGTGTGGACGTGAGGACCAGTGTCTTCAAGGCTGTCACCTCTGCCTGCAGCATGTCGATCTGGCCGGGGTGAGGTGGATGTCAACCTTAGTCCAGGGCTAACGCTGCCCAGGCTGCCCCTGCCTGCCGCCCCGGCTCAGGACAGCCTGTCCCGGCAGTGACTAGTACCCGACCCCTGCTGTTACCCTTGGAATGGCCTTTGAAGGGGGGACTGACACACCCATTTCACAGCTAAGGAAACTGAGGCTCAGAGAGGAAACGCGGCCTGCCTGAGGTCACACTGTACGTCAGGGCTCTGTGACGTGCACCTGTCTGGGAGCTGGCCGGGCTTCCCACTGAGGGGCCCTCAGGAGCCAGGAACCACACAGCCCTCGCATTTTACAGATGTGCAAATAGACTCCAAGAGAGGAAGCTACCGGCCCAGGCTCCCACAGCCAGCCTGGGGTTTCTGCTTTGTAAAGGGCTTATGGAAGGAGGCAGGAGAAATTACACTGCCCACGGGATCCTCCCTGCCCTGGTGAGGCCCCGCAAAGGTCTCTGGTGCGGTGCGAACGCTGCTGGGGTCCCCGGGGAGCTGTGTCGTCTCAGACACCTCTGCCTCGACGTCCTGGGCCGTGGTCTAACCATCCCCGCCACCCACGAGAACACGCCGGGGTCCCACCGGGTGGCGAAAGCCCAGCGCTCTTGGGGGCTGGCGGGGCAGGGCGGGAGCTCTGGGTGTGGCTCGAAGCACGCGGGGCCCTCACCTTGCCCCGCGCCTCCTTCAGCTGCTTTTCCGACGCTGCCTGCTTCGTGTTGGCTGCTCGCACCATCTTGTGGGCTTCCTGGGAAGAAGGCAGGCTCCGTGTGAGTGCAGAGGGGCCTGCGGACACACGGCAGCCGCGTTCCCCACCCTGCAACCACCCCCCGCCCCCGCCAAGCCGGCCACCACACCTCAAACAGGCTGGCTGTCAGCTCCTCCAGCTCCCGTTCCAGCTGCTCCCGCACTCTGGACAGCCGCTCACACTCCTCGTCCTTCAGCTTCAGCTCCTGGGGAGGGGGAGGGGTTCCAGGTGGGTGGCTGTGAGCCCCACAGGGGCCCCAGGCCTGGCATGGATGGGACCAGGCACCCCGCTTCCCCCCACCCGCCCCGATCAGGCTCCACTGCCAGGGTCATCTTACGTGGGCCTCTGGGCCCCGACCGCCCTTCCTCTGTTGTCCTACAGTTTATGATGCATTTTCCATTTAGCTTGTGGCATGTTGAAGCCCCACCCGCCAGTCTATTAGAGCTTAGGACAGGCTTTCAGAGAAGTCAAGACTTCTAGAAGTCCTTCAAAAGTCACAAGCAGAACTCTCTTCTGTGCTTCCCTCACGCCCAGCACAGGCCTCCGTGCAGCCAGCCCTGGCAGGTGCACAATCTCTCTGGGTGCCCAGGGAGAGCCCACAGCTCCTCCAGACGGGCCCCTTGTCCCCACAGCCCCTCCCGCTGCCCTCTGAGCCCCCACCTTCTGGGCTTTGTGAAGCTCCTCCTTCAGGAACTCTGAGCCCTTCTCGCGGATCTCCATGGAAGAGCTTCGCAGGCGGAGCACATCCAGCGGGGCGGCCGCAGGGCCCTCCTCACCTTGGGCCTCCTCCCCTCCAGGGGTCTCCGCCAGGCCTCTTGGGGACTCCGTCCTGTGGCTTTTGCAGGGGCCCACGCTCTTCCAGGGGACGGGGACAGCCTCAAGGGGCGGCGGGTGGCCCTCGTCTGGGTGGGGCTGGCTGCGAGGCAAACAGCAAATACAGGGTGGGGTCCTGAGACCCAGAGCTGAGCCCAGGCACCAACCCTGGACAGCGCACCTGCCACTCCCAGCCTACTCTGTAAAATAGGGACTCTACCTGTGAGGCTGTCAAGGGCAGAAGGACCAAACATGAGGTCACCTGGGAGCAAAGCCCCGACTCACTCACCTTTGTCAACCACCCTCTCTAGCTCAGGGCCTAGGGCTGAGCTTGGCACACAGTAGGTGCTCAGTTTATCTGTCTAGCAGAAGACTGGAAATGCACCAGTGCTGAGAATCTGAGTTTCCACTTCTACAAAGTGGGGAGGATCCCAATGGCCCTACCTCCAGGGTCACTGGATGGATGTGACCTGCATAAAACCTTGGCACCCAGGAGGCACTTAAATGGGAACCGCCTTCTTGGCTATCAATAATGCAAATTTTATGCAAATTATACCCCATTTAGGGTGGCAGGGAGAGGAAGGACCCAGCCAGGGCAGGCATTGCTGAGGTAGGAAAGTTCTGCCAAATAGCCCAGGCCAGGCAGACTGTCTTCCTGCTCCCTGTGGGGAGCAGTCTGGGCTCTCTCCGCTGGTCTGCCTTGTGAGCTCAGGCAAACACCCTTCTCTGGGCCTCAGGATCCTTCTCTCCCTGAAGTTGAAGACCCTAGAGGTAGTGAGGGGGCCATCAGCCTCTGTCCCCCACCCCCCACTGTCCATCCACACCCCTCACTTTGCAACAGACCCTGGGGAGGGAGGGAGGCAGGAAGGGAGAGGGCCCGGCCGGCACTGGTTTGTGCCAAGACAGCACCTCTGGACTCGCTCAGTCAGCAAAAGCTGGCAGCTCCTGAGCCAGCAGCTTCTGAGCGTCGGTGGCTGGGCTGAGGGTGAGTGGCTGGGCCAGGCCACTGATAACAGTGGGGAAGTAGAGGGGAGGGGGCTCAGCGGGGCCCACACAGGAGGGAGGAAAGACGAGGCCAAGGGGTCGTGAGACTCAGGATTGCTGAGGGGAAAGTGTGAAAGGCAAGACTGGGGATCAGCTGCTCCTCCCTGTCATCTAGACCCCGGCACGGTCACCAAGCAGCCCCTCAATGTCGGTGCCCCTCCCAGGTAACACAAAGGGGCTGGGGACCCAGGGACCCCCGCAATGAGCCCATTCCCAGCCCTTCACGTGGCCCTGTCCAGGCACCTAGTTTGGCCTGCCCTAGGCTTTGGAACTGGCCCAGAGTGTGGCCTCATGGTTCCTTGGCTGAGTCCTGCCTGGCAGGGACCGGGGACTGATAGATGAAGTGGGAAAACACATCTGTTACTCCATCAACAGCGTTTATGCCAAAGATCTTTCCTAATACCCTTGGGGGTGGGGGAGAGTCTCGTTGGCAAGGGGTCCCTGAGGCTCGAGGAGGGGCTATGGCAGCACTATGGCGGCCCTGGGCTGGGGTCCGCACCCAGGGGACTCCCACCATGCCAGATGCTGGGATACTCTGCCCATGCCCTCTCATTTAGGGCTCTCAGTAGCATTTGTGGGACTGTCCCCATCCCACAGATGAGGGACAGAGTCTACAGAAGTGCAGAACTTGCCCAGGTTCACACAGCTGGTGGGTGGCTGTGCAGGATGGGCAGCCAGGTCTTCGGCCTGAAGCCCCCACCGGGTGGGTGGGGTGGGGGGTGAGTATGAAATCACTGCATCAGCCTCAGGGTCAAGGTCTACAAGGACTCAGGAGACGACTCCTTGCCGCAGCAGGGAAATCTGACCCAATTCTGGCCCGACCAACTTCTCAGCCTCTGCTCAGGCCCAGACACTGCCTCCCAGGAGGGCAAAGCCAGGGTCCATGCCAGGCTCTGAGCTGGGGTACGCGCCAGCCCCTGCGAATGTCACCAAAGTTCTCTGAAGCTGCTTCCCACCTGTGGGACGGGGGTAACGACCTAGAGTCACTGGAGAAGCACCATGTAAAGACCGTGCCGTCTGTGGCCACATTTGGCAGATACCCCTACTGTGCCTGCCTGGGCTCTGGGTCCCGCGGCTGAAACCGCAGGCCTCAGGGAGGTCCTTCCTGCTGAGAGTCTGGGGGCCCCGGGCCCAGTGCCATTTCTTCAGGTGAGAGAGGATGGCCATAGTCACTCAGGCTTGGGGGTGGGGGGACGGGTGGCAGACCCCAACTCGAGGACTGCACATTTCAACAGGATGGGTGAGAACTGTGGGCCAAGGGTGGGGGTGACCCAGGCAGGATTCCAGGTTTCAGACAGCCAGCCCCAGTGCCTTTCCCTCTGCAAGGACCACCCCACACATCAGCCATGTCCCCGCCGAGGAGAAAAAGACCTCCAGCCCCTCCCACGAGGGCCACCAGTGTGGTCTGGGCCCCGGGCCCGAGTGAAAGACACTAACTCTCCTGCTGGTCCCAAGGGCATGGGCTGGGGTTATGGCTGGACTGCCCCCCCCTTAGTTTCCCAACAGGCTCTCACTTCAGCCCCCTGCCGGGAAGGATGGGGGCCCTCTTTTGCACCCAGAGGCAACAGTGGCCTCCCCACTACCCATCTCCCATCCTCCCTGCCCCCGGCTTCCCCAGTGAAAAAGCCCAACTCAAAAAATCCTAATGGCCGAAAGCATATGAAGAACACGTCCACCCCGTAGTCACGAACCACCCAATGCCGGGGCCAGGGGTTCAGGAAAGACACCCCCCCCCCACCTCGGTACTGGAAGGGACGCTTGCATCTGTAGGCCCTCCCCTCACACTTCTAGGCTGTGAGGAGACTCAGAAATTTCAGGAGGGGCCCTAGGCCCCACAGGTCCAGCCCCAGCTTCACACACTTTAGCATTCCAAACCAAAGGCTGGCAAACCTCAACGGGACCACCTGCACTCCTTGGACAGGCATGGGCTACCACACCGCACCCCCTCCCCGCCCCTCAGCCCTGGTCCACGGCCCTCTGTTGGAACCTTTTCAGTCCCCATTCCCCGCAGAAACAGAGTCCAGCATCCACAATACGCCGCAGGGGCCCCTGGGAAGGGGTTAGAGGCAGGAGATAGTAAGAGTCAAGGTCAGAGGAAAGTGGGAGCATCCAACACCCTCCATCCTGAACCGGCTCCACTGCCCGGAGCCCACGACAGTTTATACAGGAAAGGCCCCACTGGGTCACTTCCCCAGGAAACACACAAGGGGGTGGGGGTGCAGTAAAGCAATCCTCACCCCCGCCAATCCTGCCCTAGGCCAGCCAGCATGGCTTTGTCTCCATCCACAAAAAATGGCAAAATGAGAATCAGGTCCCCTGGATCCTATGGTCTTCAGTCACCCGGAAACCCCCACTGGACCAGGATGGCCTGTGCAGAGGTCACTCCCAGGGGCCAGGAGGGCCCAGCGAGGATCCTGCATACCTCTTCCCATCTCCAGCCCAACCGGCCCGCCATGAGGTCTTCCTGCCCCGCGGTCTCTCCCTGTCCACTGACCAGGGCCCAGGTCACCTCTTTGAATTAAAGATCCCTGTGCTGATGGGCATGACAGGTTCATTAAAGAAGCTGGAAGGAGCTGGTTAGGGAGGCTCTGGAATTGGAGGGAGCAGAGCTGGGACCACCGGGACACAATGGGACCGCTAGTCTCTGCCCGGGGGCCAACAGGGTGGCTTTGGCGGATCCGGTCTACAGGGTGGTGCCACGGCACAGGGGCCCAGTTCAGACTCGTGCTCATGCACCCACAGGTGTTCCCGTAAGCCCTGAGGGCACCGAGGCTGACAGCCAGGTGACTCTGGTCTGGGGGCCGCGGGGGGTCCCAGGAAAGGCTTCCTGCAGAGGCTCCCTGACTAGCCAGCAAGCCCGGCCAGGCTGAGCTGACAGAGAGGGGCTAAGTCTACAGCTCCAAACCGTCAAGCTGTGTTCGAGTCCCAACCTCACGATGCCGCGGCAGGGAGATGCTCTCCCTAGCCCGCTTTGGACGATGAGGCACGTGATGTTCAGAGAGGGGTGGCGACCTGACCGGAACAGACAGCCAAAAAGTGACAGGGTGGGAACTGAACCCAGAGTCCCAGCTCTATCGCATCATGTGACGCGTCAGCCGGAAAAATCCAGACGGGAGGAAAGATGAATGGTGGTTTTGGAGAAGTGGGGCGGGATGCAGATGGGGTTTGAGGAAGTCTGTGGGCCGGGAGGGGGCTGTGCACAGGCCACGCAGACACAAAAGACTCAGGGCTGGGGGGACTGTGGCATGACCTGGGGCTGGAGAGAGGGACAGGGGAAAAAAAAACAAAACAAAACTGCAGTGCCTAGGGCCAGAGAGCCAGCCTGGAGGTCTGAGGAGCAGCCACTGCCAGGGTTGAGAAGGGAAGGTTCCAGAAGAACAGGACAAGGGTGTCATATATTTCATACATAGGAACAGGAGGCCAGGCCTGCAAACTGAGTGGGACGCCAGCGTGGG